CAGTTGCCTGGGAGAAGTTGGTGAAATACTATTAGGTGTACTTAAATATGTGACAGTGTATTGCTTAGCTTCCAGTTACTAGTAGAGTTCAGAGGCCAGGAAGGTTGCCAGCTCATTTCATCTGATCATTACTTATCTTGACCAAAGACTCAGGAGACTATATATTGAAATAAAGCTTTCATTAGCTTTTAATGCTTTTCCTTAAACCCTTTATTTTAAGACTTTGAAATCAGATTTCAGAGAATGTCATAATTAAGGTTTTCATAAAAAGAAACATTTAATTCTGTTTAAATATATAATGACTCCCAGTGCTGTCTGAAGTCATTCACATCATAAACCCACTAAAGTGAGCCTTAATCTCTACTATTACCATGCTACCTTTACTTAGCCTTAATGTATAACACTTTCAAGAACAATTTATGACCCCCACAAAAATAATTATAGTGCTATATTATAATCTCATCCTACTAATCAGAAGTGTTAATCTGATTAATCATCTACCATATTTACCAGATTGGACTCTGAATAATTGGCAGCTTGTTCAAAAATGAAATTTTTCTGAAAAGATTATTATATAGTCCTTCAAGGTAGTACTTTGAATGGAAACATACTTAGGGGGATATTTATTTTGATAGATTTACTTGTAAGATTAGAGCACTTTGCAGTCTCAGGTCATACTGGATTTTGACTGTAACAAGTCATTTGTTAAATCAGGTATAAAATTTATGTTTTGATAGAGGAAAAGTTCTAGCATGAAAGAAAATGACAGATTGCATACAGCTACGCAGGAATCATTTCATCCTATTCTTTTTGAAGTCCATTGAATTGGTTTCAAGCTCCTATTCAAGTAAGAGCAATAGAAAGTAATCGTTGTTGAGTTTAAACTGTGTGTCAGAATTTGCCTAAATACCTTACTTAGTTCTTAAGACAACCCTACTAGATATATATTTTCATTTTATTGATAAGGAAAGTAGGTTTCAGACAAGTTAAGGTGGTTATCAAGGTGACAACTAACATGGAAAGGTTAGGTTTTAATTCACATCTGATTCTACAGGTTCGATCAAACTCTCACACATCAACACTTGGCCTTCATAATCAACAGCATCCTCATCATCAAACAAATTTACAGCTTTTCACATGTTGGAGATAGACTAAACATGGGCTACATTTCCTTCTAGGCTTTTCAGTCTTTGTATTAGAGGTTTTGTTTATTTTCACTAAGGAAGCTAAATACTGATAGTGAGGATTTTTCTGTTGCAAAATGCTAATTTTTACTCTTAAAATAATTCATTCTTGGTATAAAAAATTACATTGAAGAAGTGTATAAAAAAAGAAAAATCCATTAACTCCCATACCGGCACTCAATCATTAGTCATACCAGCTGTTCTCTTGGTTCCCTCAATGGGCTATTTTGATCCCCAATAGCTGTCTTTCTTGAGGGAGTAGTTAAGATTCTAAATCTTTGATTTATTGCAATATTTCTAACAATTGGTGAAATAGAAGAGTGACATTTGTAGAAGCTTTTTTTCTTATTCTAAAAAGTTCATATCTTACAGTTCAACTAACCCACATGAAAAAATTTCAGTAATTAAGGGAAACAACTTACACTATTATAAAAAGGTAAAAACTACAAAAGACAAAAGAATATACTAAAATGTTAATAGTAGTTTTAGAAAGGTAACAGGACTACAGTCATTTTTATTCCTTTTCTCTCTAGATTGCATTTGTATTACTTGTATAATGAAATAGCAACTAGTTCAAGAAAACCATTCCTGATAAAAACAGAGTAATTGATAGGATTCCTATCAGCCCGAAAACTAACACTAAACTAAATTTTTACAGACTAAATAGCTTTTAAAGACTATTACTGCTATTTCTTTCTTAGGCTATTTTTATTTCTATTACAAATTATCAGAGTTAAACACAAATTAATAATTATGTGAACAGTAACATTCTTTGACTCATTGTTTGGGGCCAGTGCATTAAATATTTATTGAGCAACTGTTTTATGCAAGGCACTGTAGGCATAGGATGAATGAGTGAAGTCCATTCTAATCCTCAAGGGATCCAGGTTTGGGAATGGAGGTAGAACAAGAACCCTACCAAATATTAGAGGGGTTTTTTTTTTTTTTTTTTTTTTTTTTTAAGGCTTATGAGATACAACATGCTGAGAGTGCAGACACAGGAATCATCTCTAATAAGAAACAAGGAAGGTTCTATGCAGTGAATTGAATTTGAGCTTGATCTTAGGAAAATTGTGGGATTTTTCATACCCAGAGATCAGAAATGTATTTAGTAGAGGGAAGGTTAACAGTAGACATAGAGGTACTGAGACCAGGGCACATGAGAAAGAATAAGGAGTCTTTGGCTAGAGGCTACAGTAGATGTAGGGGAGAGAATACTAGGAGTGGCACCAGAGTGGGGGGATTTAGAATGTTAAGCTGCAAAGTCAAAGTTTCTAGATAATGGGTGATTTAGGTGGGGGAGAAGTAATTTGAGAAGGAAGAGTGATATGATCAATGTGGACTTAGGGCAGTTTCTTGGGTCAATTTAACATCCAGTAGGAGACTGAGGGAAGACAAGGGTGGGGGAAGATAACCCTCCTATGAAATATAATTGGTACTTGTGCTTGTTGGTATATGGCATCAGATGAAAGTTGTGGTACTTTAGAAATATATTCAGTAATCAGGGACCATAGATCCAATGAAATGAATTCAGATCCCACCCTTTAAGTAGCTGTGTGATTACTTCGTTCCCTTAAACTTGTCTCATCCTCTGCAAAATGGGCATACGCGCACTTAAAGGCTTGACGTGTGGTTTGCAGATATTCTTGTAAAACAATTAGCATAATCCTGGCACATGGTTAATATTCAGTACATGTGAATGTCATTCATGCTACAACCTGAGGTTGGAGCTTACAAGGAAAACAGGTGTGAGCATGGTACTAACAAAGGAGACCGTATAGCAGTTGGGAGCATGGCACCTGGAGGTAAAGACTGGATTCATATCTCAGCTCCACTACTGCTAATCAGCTGTGATCTGCTACTTAACCCTCTTTACCTCAGTTTCCTTAGTGTTAATACCTCTCCATGGAGCTGCTAGAAGAATAAAGTAAGGCAACACATGTAAAATATACAGTATGTGCCTGATAGATTTTCAGCACCCAGTCAGTGTTAGTTACTGGGGGGACGGCAGGGACTTGGAATTGTAGCAGGAGAGGTAAGCAGACATGAGACATGCAACGGGGTTTTAGACATGAAGGACAGATCCAGACAGAACAATCAAAGTGGAGGTAGCCAGGAGTCACTGGCACGGAGGTGATTATTATAGCTGTACAGATAGAAACGTCAGGAGTGAGGACAGAAATAGGCCTAAGGAAACAAATCTAGAAGACATTCTGTAAGACAGATGGCACTCAAAAAGTGTCATGGAAAAAAAATTGGGCCCGCCCTGGTGGCACAGTGGGTTGGAGTGCAGCACTGCAAAGCTGGCCTCGGGCTTCTTCCCCAGCCCTGGAGCTGACCCACAAGGTGTGGCAGACCTTTCATGTCTCACCCTGCTGCTCCCTACTCTGTCTCTGGTGAATTCTCTTACAGCTCCTGTATCTCTGATCTGTACCCCAGTTCTGTGTGCAGGAATAAATCTTAAAAAAATTAGTCAGGGGCTGTTCCAAAGTAAGAGGCTAAAGACACATCAAAAGTAATACATGAACCTTGATTGAACCCTGTTTTTTAGAAAAGATACAGCCTTGGGACAGTTGAGAACTTTTGATAAAGTTTTCTCGACCACGTTTTCGTCTTTGTTCTCACCCATTTCTCTCCCACCTGTACTGGGAAACTATTAATATTCTTAGGAATGACAGTCATACTGTAACATATAGAACAGTATCTTTGTTCTTAGGAGACAGAAGCTGAAATACTTAGAGATGAAGTGTCATGCAAATATAGGGTGAAGAAAAAGTAAGTACAGTAAAATAAACAGTTGTTCCCACTAAGTGGATAGTCATTGTACTAGCCTTTCAACTTTTTCTGAATGCTTAAATTTTTGCAATAAGAAGTGAGGCAAAAAAGGACCTGAAGAAAAATTGTTTGGGATCCAGGAAAAAGGGTTCTTAGAGGAAAGGAAAGTTGTCCCTACCAAGGGAGAAATTTCAAGAGGGGAGAGATGAAGTATTATGAAGGCTGAAAATAAATCATCATATTGGGCCATTGGGAGACGGTGGTGGCTTCTTAAGAGTCCAGTGTAGTATGACATGCTGGCCATGAAGTGCAGGATAAATAGGGAAAAAGTATAAATGGCAAGAACTACTAGGCCCTCCTTGGCTGGTGGTCAGTGAGTAGCTTTTGGGTTGAGATCTTGTCTGTCTTTTCAGTACAAGGAAGACTGAGTTTTACTGAGAGTCTGGGGGAAAGGAGTGAACAAGACACAGGACATACATTAGTGGAGGAAAGGCCCAGTACAGGTGGGAGAGAAATGGGTGAGAACAAAGACGAAAACGTGGTCGAGGATGGGAGGGATGCCCGGTAGTGGAAGGAAGCACCACTCCTAGCTGCGAGGTGAGTTCGTCTTACTAATCCTGCAACTCACTGGGTCTGAACTGGGAAAGAACCTGGCTGAGGTGAGAAAAAGAGTGCTTTTGGTATTGTTGGGCAGGCCTGGGAAGGGAGCCAACAGTGAGGTGCTCACAGACTGCCCTGGTGAGGCACAGATAATGGGAAAGGGATGAAAACTAACGGGTGGTCCCCCATTTGGAATCTGGCGCTGGGTAAACTTAGTAGGAAATGAGTAAACCTCTCTTCTAGGGCAAATGCTTTATCCTCATTTTCATGGCTGCCCTGGCTGGTATATATATATATGGCCATGTGATGTGACAGTGTGTAAAGAAGCTTCCAAAAGTCAACAGTATAAGGAGCCATGGCTATGTGAGACCGAGGTTGGCAGGCAGCTGGGGGTCTCATTCTTCGAGGCAGAGGAAAGCCACCTAGGACACTGATGTCCCCTGAAAGTCGAGAGTCACGGGAGCCTCCATTCCTAAGCACCCCAGGGAAGTCCAGAGTGCAAGTAATCTGGGTGCTACTCTTGCCTCCCAAGAACCTTTCAAGGCCTCACACTAGGGAGAGTCTGATTCCCTCTGGCGTTCAGGACGCCAGAGACTCTGTTCCCTGGTGGTGAAGACATGGACCAAGCTGGAGGAGTCTACAGGAGGACCTTTGTGATGATGTAGCCATCCCTTTCCGCGTCCGGCTCCTCTTTCAGCGGAGTCTGCTGCGGGGCAATGGCCAAGGCCGCGGCGCCCTCTCGGCGGCTCACCTCCCGCAGCCGAGTCTGCAGCGCTTCCCTCTCCGCCTGCAGCTCGCGCCGGGCCTGGGCCACGGCGCGCTCCTCCTCCTGCAGGGCCCTCCGCCTCCGCTCCAGGGCGCGCTCGCCCTGCTCCACCGCCGCCT